CTGCACAGGTGAGTCTCCTGCCCAAAGGCACTCAGTTGTACTTGCACTATGGTCTGGGAAGCCCACCACTCTGACTGTTTTGCTGCTGATTCTTCTTTCCACTACTCTGTTACTCTTGTGATGTTACAGTTTTCTTTTGTTTTTTTTTTTTGTTTTTTTTGTTCCTGGGTCAAGAAGGTTGAATGCACAGAGATCTTGGGGTCCAAAGGATGCAGTGCATGCTCTTCCTGATGGTAACACGAATCTCCATTCCTGCTTTTCAGATGGCTCATTTTATACCCAGATTCTTGTTGTTAGGTGCCATTGAGCTGGTTCCAACTCATAGTGACCCTGTGAACAACAGAATGAAACATGGTCCAGTCCTGCGCCATCTTCACAATTGTCATTATGCTTGAGCCCACTGTTGCTACCTTTATGTCATTCCGTGTTTTTGGAGGATTTCTCTTTTTCGTTGACCCTCCATTTTATCAAGCGTGCTGTCCTTCTCCAGGGATTGGCCCTTCCTGAAAACATGTCCAAAGTACAAGAATCGGAGTCTCACCATTGTTGCTTCTAAGGAACAATCTGGCTGCAGTTCTTCCAATACAGAAGATTTGTTTGTTGTTCTGCCAATCTATGGCACGTTTTCAACATTCTTCACCAACATTATAAGACAAATGCATTGATTCTTTCACAGTCTTCCTTATTTTTCTTTATTGCTGTTGTTATGTGCTATCAAGTTGTTTCTGACTCATAGTAACTTTATGCAAAACAGAAGGAAACACTTCCCAGTCTCATACCATCCTCACAATTGTTGTTATGCTTTAGCCCATTGCTGTTGCCATTGTGCCAGTCCATCTTGTTGGGAGTCTTCCTTTTTTTTCACTGGCCCTCCATGTTACCAAGCTGGTCACTCCTGATAACATGTCCTAAGTATGAGAGATGAAGTCTTACCATCCTGGCTTCTAAGGAACATTTTGGCTGTACTTCTTCCAACACAGATTTGTTTGTTTTACCCTTAGTGAGAAAGATATTCTTTGACAGATGCAACCAACCATACATTTCAAGTAGTATGTGTATGAACATACATACACACATGAATCCATACCAAGTATACAAAAAGGTACAAAGACACATTATCTTACTGGACCTTTCACTTACAGTCTTCAAGCTGAAATCCAAATATTACTGATTTATTATTATGTTTCTGCACTTGAATTTGCTCTTTTCATTAAGTCACATTCCTCCACGACTTGCCAGCCGCTTATTCTTCCCTTTCTCTCCTTATTGTCTGTCTCTTAACCAAAGATGGGATTATTGTAGTAGAAACTGCAGTTTTTCATCATCGTAGATAAATGGTTAATTTGAAATATTTGTGTGATTCTGAGGCTATTTAATTGTTAATACTTTTTTTTCTTTCTTTCTTTATACATTACCTCACTTTGAGATATGTTTGGTGTTGACGCAGTCCTGTGCGTCTATATAACAGAGCTACTGTTTCCACTTTGAGCATCCATCAGTGAATTTTATCATATGGAGTCTACGGAGCTCTGGTGTGGTGCTGTGGGTTAATGCGCCAGACTGCAAAGCCGTTTGAACCGCGAGGTTGGTGGTTCAAGCTCATCAGCTGCTCCTGGGAAACCCTGTACAGGGTTGCTATGAGTCAGAACTGAGAAACCGGCTCGATTACACTTAACAACAACAATAGGCAGTTGGATTTCAAATTATAGTGACTTCATGTAATTGGGTAGAACTTCCCCTTAGGAATTTCTTGGCTAAATTTAATCTGTAAGGAAGTTGTTGTTGTTGTTGTCAGGTGCCATTGAGTCGGAACTGACTCATAGCGACCCCATGCACAGCAGAATGAAACAATGTCCGATCCTGGGCCAACCTCACTACCGCTGCCACACTTGAGTCCATCAATGATGCCACCTGGCCAATCCATCTCGTTAGGGGTCTTCCTCTTTTTCTCTGACCCTCCACCTTGCCCAGCATGGGCCCAGCATGGCCCAGCATGAAAAGCTGCTGCGTAGGTTTGAACTGCTAACCTTTGAATTAACTACCAAGCACCACCAGGACCCCTCACCATTGATCTGTGTATCCTGAAATGTTATCTTAATTGTACTTCATTTCAAACTTTGCTTAGTCTTATTGACTTGCATTTTGTCACCATTATCTACCTAAGCTTCATGCATATTTTGCAGTAGTAGATTACTTTTTAATGCTAAATTATACCCCATTCTGTGAATAATCACTATTCTTGTGTTGATGGGCATTGTTGTTGTTAAGTACCGGCGAGTCTGTTCTGACCCATAGCGACCCTGAATTGGGTTGTTGGGTTGTTTCTATTCTTTAGTTATTTTGAATGATGCTGCAACAGACATTCTTTCTTGTATGTGTCTACTGATAATGTGTGATTTTCTGTTTGCAGAATATCCAGGCATAGAGTATATGTTTTTGTTATGTGCTGTTGAGTCATTTCTGACTCATAACAACCTTGTATAACATTTCCGAGGCTGTGAATCTTTATGGAAGCAAAAAGCTTCATCTTTCTCCTGAGGAGTGACTGGTGGCTTTGAACTGCCAAATATGTGGTTAGTAATCCAGTGCTTATCCTAAAGAGCCACCATTGCCCCATAGTTTATATACATATTCACATTTTCAAGATGATGTCAAAATGTTTTCCAAAGAACCAATCCAGTTTGTCTGTCTTGTAATATGTAGGTATACCCAGTGCTCCACAGCCTTGTTAACAGTTGTTACTAGCAGGCTTCAATAATGGTCTTATGTGCATTACCATGATTGCTCCTGAGGCTGTCTGTGAATTTTTTCACAGGGATTAATTTTTGTCTTCTGTAGAACTGGAATTGCTGTTGCTGTCTTTTGCAAGTTTTACTATCTAAAAAATTTTGAAAATGTCTTTAAATTATTAAGTTACAGGAGGTGTTTATATTCCTCATACATAAAACTTTTTTTTGCCATTGTAAATGTATTACAGTTACAGTTATCTTTTCTCTCAGTTCATGGCATACTTTCCCAATGTAATTTATTGATACACAGATAGTGTTAGTTTTAAATTTTATTCATATTTGATGATTAACAGTTTTTGTTTCCCCCTATACCACAAAGTCAGAAAGATACACCTTTATTGTAGTTTCTATTCACATTTAAGTTTTCATTTTTATATATGATGTTGTTGTTGTTGTT